TACGCCACGCCTCCTCAACACTGCCTCGCCTGTCATTGCCCTGTAGCGAAGCAGCGGGTTGCCCTTGTCATCGAACCGAGGAGAACCATCGTCAGCGAGAAGAGGGATCTTCTGGCATGCGTCGCCAGCGAGAAGACGGCGGCCTAGACTCGAGAGTACTTTATCCAGCTGTCGGTGCTGCGTCTCGCTGAGAATCATAACATTCAAACCACGGTGCGCCGCCCCCCTGCACCGCGGACCCGAACGCGACCCGCGTCAGCCGCCAGATGCGACTGCGCGCCCAGCAGCGGCCCATGCTGTAGTATCCCCCTGCGGGCAACTTGCAACCTGCGCCGAAGCTCGGCCTGCGCGCTGCCCGTGATAGATGTCTGGATGCCGAGGGCCACGTTGTCGTACTGCACTGCTCCCGCGATGGCCTCAGCGCCGCTGAACAGCTGGCGCGCTTCGCTCTTGGAGCCGCGGCCTAGGAAGCAAGCGACGCCGAGCTCCTGGACGGGTTGCGTGAGTAGCCGCAGGGCTCCAGGGCACACTTCAGCTCGTTGTGGGAGTGGCGGGACACGTAGCCAGCGCTCCGCGCCGAAACTACGATGCTCGCGCGGTTGGCGGCGTCGGCGTAGATCCGAGTGCCCAAAGATACCGCAGCGCCCAGTCGCGGGCACCACGCCGTGCATCGCGCCTCGCTCGGCCAGATCGTGGCGTCGATGTCCGCGCGCGGGGTGGGCGGGAGGAGTGGCAGGGCCTTCCGCTCCGCGTAGGCCGTCGGAGTCTCGGGCAGCTCGTAGGTCGCCCAGGCGGAAGCGCGAAGCCGTATAAGCCATGCCGCGACGGGCTCGCGGAAGGTCCGCGCTCGCCCATGAAGGCGCCGCAGCGGTTGTGGAGGTCCTGGTCCCCGTCGGCCCCTGAGGCGCGGAACGTGCTAAGCTCGTGGCGCTGGCGGAAGTGCCCCTGCCCCTCGGGGCGCACCGCCGCCTCCACTGTCTGGCGCAGGGCGGTGGGGGCAGAGGAGCCGAAGGCGTTGCTCATGTCCTCCTTCGTAGTGAGCGTGGCGTCGAAACGCCGAGGCGCCGAAGACGATCGAGAAGCCCTTCTTGGCGCAGGAGAGCGCCCTCTCGGTTGCGACCTCGCTGATGGCCGTGCTCTCGAGGCGGTGGTTCGTCAGGTGGAGCTCGCTGTAGTTGCGCTTTGTACCAGGCTGCCCCGACCCTACACAGGCCATGGAAAAAGCGCTTGGCGTTGAACCAGGACTTCCCAATCTGTTTGTCCAGCTCCGTAGTGACCAAGTGGTGCCAGATGAGGGGCGCGCGCCTGGCCCTCCTGATGCGGGCGCGGATGGTCTTCAGGGCTCGCTCGGCGATGGGCGCGTCGATCTCCCCGTGTACCTGTCCTCGCCCGCTCCGATCGCCAGCGAGACAGTGCCGAAGCTGTAGCTCGACTCGAGGCTGCGGAGGACCGTCGGCTTCCCCCTCGTCTTCATCTCCATGGCGCCGCGGGCGCCGTCGCCGTCGTCGGCCATCATGCCGACGCCAAGGCTCGGGTGCAAGTCGAAGTACTTCCGCGGGGGCACTGCGGGGGGGGGGCAGCACGACGCCGGGGCGACTTCGACAACGCAACAACCGTCTTCTCGAAGTCCTCGCGGCTGGCGTCGAGGTGGTCGCACGCGTGCATCGGGGCGCTGGGCAGGGGGCCCAGGCATGGCCGGCAACGCCCCGTGAACTCGAACGGGATCGCATCGAAGCCGCCGTTGGCGCCGACCTGGGCGAAATGCTTCGCGATCTCGGTCTGCCGTGGACAGGAACTGTCCGCGACGTTATAGCGCCTGCGCCGCGGAAACTTGCACTGCGCTGCCAGCAGGCGGCCCAAACGCCATGCCTCGCCAAACTGCCGACGCTGCCACGCCTCATGCATGTCGTCGGCGAGGAGCTGCGTCTCGCAGTCGACGCGAACTCGGCGGCGGCCGCGTAGCGCGCGCGAAGCCCTGGCCAGAGCGGAGGCCATGTCCGTGGCGTCGCAGCCTGCCTCTCGAAAAGCGCGTCGGTCTGCCAGAAGTCGAAGCCGCTCCTCCCGAAGTCGCTGAGCTCGCTGCGACGCTTGCGCTCGCCCAGCGAAGTGCTTCTGGGCCACTGAGCGCAACCGACCGATCTGGCGCTCCCAGGCCTCGTCGGGGGCCTCCGCCGCGCGCAGCTCGTGGAAGTAGTCGGGGTGCTGCGAGCAGGCCTCCTCCAGCTCGCGAGCGAACGCAGAGACCCCCTTGCCTGACTGCAGCGCCTGGCTCAGCCGATGGAAGTCCCACTGCGTCCGCGGCCGCGCAGGCGGCGCCTGCAGCGTGCAGATCACCTTCACCAAGATGGGAACGTGGTCCTGTAGACCAGGCCCGCGGTGCCAGCTTCAGTCGCAGGCTGGCGCTCTTGAGCGGAATCACCGTCTGCGCTGACGGAGCCTGCCGCGCGAAGATGGCGACGTGGTCGATGTGAGTGGCGCACCGAACCCCGTGGAATGTCGGCCCAACCTCGAAGTCGCTCGTCGCCACTCTGGGCGCGAACCTCTCGAGCAACTCTAGCATCTTGTCGGCTGCGTAGTGCTGGACCTGGCGCCCGTGCGGTCCAAGAGTGGGCGAGTCCACCTGATCGTAGACCTGCGCACCTCGCTGGCGAATGCCCAGTCCGCCGTTGAGGTCGAAGCCAAAGCAGAGAGCGGAGCGCCCTCGAGCCCAGGTGAGGGTCTGCTCGACCCAAGTGCATATCGCATCGACAGTGTCCCTGTATGCTGCATGCGCGGTGCCCATCGTGACCGACTCGGCTGCACTTCGACGGCTCGACGGTCTCGGCGGAAAATAAGCCATCGGCACCAGGATATCAAACCGTCCGCTGCGAAGGCGTGTCAGAGAAACTCTGCCCCTTAGCTTCGCTGGAACTGGAGGAATGTCGACCACGTGCGGCGTACGGAAGACCCGCTTGCGTAGCAAGATGGTACAGCCGCAACTCTTGTTCGTGTAGGGGCTGGGGCTCCAGCCAAAACGCAGGGCAGTATGAAAGGGCAGCGGCGTCCGAAGAGTGTCGACATCCCGTCGCTTCTCTCCTGTCCCGCTCAGACATACCACGTCTACATTGCGAAATTCGGCAGGAAATGTCGCATAGCCTCTCCTGTGAACTCGCATTCCGGGCATTCCAGTGGACAGACTGCACCACCCCGAACTATTCCAGAACACCCCAGATACACAGCACATCATACATAAAACAGCACAGCAGCGACGCCGCCAGGAGCCGCCACCTCACCGCGGGAAGAGGGCGCGCCGCCATGCGGGGCGCGGAGCATGAATGCGCATCAGTTGACGCCTGCCGCCCCTGAATCACCGCCTCGGGCAGGGGGGGGGGGCAGGATGAGGAAGGGGAGGAGGAGGAGGGGAACACTGAGACGGGCGAAAAACAACACACAGCAAACAAACGCTGACAAGGAGGAAGGAGGGGGGCAGCAGAAGTAGCGAAAAACAAGCAGGGACGAAAGGGCGGTCGGGGGTGGTCGGGGTCGTCGGCGTCGTCGTCGCCGCGGCCAGGGCAACGGGGATCGTCGTCGTCGTCGTCGAAAACGGATCAAGAGGCCCCAAAGACGCCTCCAAGAGATGGGGGACCCGGGCGGACATTTCGAGCTCTCGGCCCCGAGACGCCCCCAAGGCCCCCCCCCAGAGGCCCCCAGGAGGCCACACGAGCCCCCCCAGGAGGCCACACGAGCCACCCCAGAGACCCCCAAGAGGCCCCCTGAGAGGCTCCCAAGAGGCCCCAAAACTGCTCTCCAAGAGGCCCCCGAGAGCGCCCCGAAAAGACCACAAGAAGCACCCCCGAGAACTCTGACTCACACCCAGGCACGGTGGCGGGGTGGACCGAAGGCCATTCGATTGGATTCCAACTGGATCGCATGAGGATTCCAACATGATTCAAGAAACCTCTCCAGGATGCGAGCTGGATTCCAGTACGATTCCTAGGCTCGGATCAAATTTCCGAAAGGATCCCAATCTCATCCCATCCGGATTCCACCTAGGCCCAAGTAAAATCCGAATCGGATTGCAATCGGATTCCGTCGTCGTCGTCGGCGGCGTCGTCGTCGTCCTCGTCGTCGTCGTCGTCGTCGTCGTCGACTTCGGCGGGCCCTCGCAGCCCCCCCCCGTCACCCTCACCCCTACGGGGATTTTGGACGGATTTATTTATATATAGCAAAATACCCCCAACACAAATTCACAAGTACAAAAAAACTAAGCAGAAATGGTCGCCATACTATTTTCTGCTATTCTTGAATATTCCTCCTGTAGAGGGACATGCCCGACTCCTCTTCTCATCCTCTGAGTCCCACCGTCCCCCTCGCGGTGCGAAACGATACCGCTCGGCGGCGTCCCCCCCTCGGAGATACTTGATCAGTTTGAGAATTTGGAGTGCTAGCGATAACGCAGGGAGGATTGATACTTGCATCTCGCGGTTACTTGGGCGATTTCGGAAACCCTGAACCCAAAATCGTTGTCATCTCTTGGGGGGCACATCTTTTACTTCCGCCGCCTTCCGCCGGCTTCCGCTGGCGGAGGCGGCCTCGTTCTACTTCCGCCGACCTTCCGCCGCGGAAGATATGACAACTCCGGCGATCCTCGAAGGCAAGGCCCTTTTTGGAACACCTCACGTGTACCCATGGGGTCCTAGCCAAGAGATCCTGACCGCAAGAATCTGGGTATGAACATGGCCGCCCACAGAAGGCCTAGGGAGGGTTGACACTTGCATCTCACGGTTACGCCCACCCACGGGGTCTTGGCCAAGAGATCCTGACCGCAAGAATCTGGGTATGAACATGGCCACCCACGGAAGACACGAGTCCAAACTGCGGGCAAAGCTTGTGCCCATATCCACTGCAGCTTGGGGGTTCGGGCGCTCCCTTCCCCAGACAACCGAGGAGCACCGGACATGGATGAAAACCAGGCCCCCATACCAGAGGCTCGAACCTCATCCACATTCGGCCCTGCGGCGCCCCCCCCCCGCGAAAGCCCAAGACGCCCCCGGATATGGACACACATGTTGCCCGCACACGCGCGCGGACGTCTTTTCAGGACCCTCTCAGTAAGGGCTCCGCAGCGCCCCGCGGCGGGGCGCTGTAGCCCGCCTAACGCGTGGACGCCTCGCCGCCCTCCGCCGGCGGTGCCGCCGCCGCTCCCCCTCCTGCCAGCCTTCGGCCGGCCTGCCCCCGTGGGCGCGGGGGGCGCGCACGGGGCGAGGCGCTCCCCGGAGCGCCCCGCAGGCTCTCGGCGCCGGGCGAGGGGGGGAAGTGAGGAGGAGGAGGAGGAGGAGGAGGAGGAGGAGGAGGAGGAGGAGGAGGAGGAGGCCTTCTCGGCAGGCTCGGCAGCCCACCGGCCTCCTGGGAAGTTCTCGCTGGGCCCCCGGTCTAGGACGGACGAGCTCCTCTCAGACGGCGCGAAGGCTTCCCAGAAGTCCCGCCGCCTTCCGAAAAGGCCTTCCCCTTCTCACTTCCCCCCCTCGCTCGCCGCCGGTGTCTGCCGCTCACGGGCCTGATGACCGCTCCGCGCCGTCCTTCTCCTCCGCGCTGTCCTCCAGAGGCGCCGCCGGTCCTCGGCCGGCGACGAGAAGAGGGGCAAGGGGCAGGGGGGGGAGGGAAGCGTTCGGTCGGGCACGTCCTCCTACAGGCGGGTTTCGGAGGGAAAGCGAAGATAGCCAAAACGAATACGCAGAACATTGTCATACATCGTCCAGAAGTCGTCCGCAAACTATGTTTGGACTCGTTTTGCATATTCCTCCTGTAGAGGGGACATTTCCCGACTGCGGCCCTGAGCTGCGGCCCTGAGAGGGCGACCTGAGAGGGCGGGGGACTCGGTGTCTTCGCGAGCACAGCAGGAACCCGACCACAAGGAGCCCTCCTCGGGAAGCCCAGCCCGGAGCCCCCGGGGCGTCCCCTGTGCTCTTCGGTGTGGGAGCGCCACGCTTCTCCACAGACGAGCCTTTGAGGCCCAGGACACCCAGGGCGCCCTGGAGGCAGGCAGGGTGCCTCTTGGCATGGGCTTCCGCTGCACATCGGCCCCTCCGAGCCCAGGCGCGCCCCGCGCGCCACTCTGGCACGACGGGGGGGCGCCTCGGGAGGCGCTCCCCCCCCTCCGGACCCTGCCCGAGGGGCAGCGGTGGGGGGGGGGACTGGCTCGGAGGGGGGAAGCATCGAGGGAGGCATCGAGCTGGAGTTGGCGATGCATCGACAGGCCCCCCATAGCGAAATCGCACGGTCCTGGGCAGGGTGAACTATCGGGCCCCCTGTGGGCTAGCAGTAGGCGACCGGGACGATCTGGGCACCTCTGGAACGCTCTCGGCGAGGCGCAGTTGCTGGAACGCATCACGAGGCTGGAAAACCGCCGAGATGTTACGCGAAAGCGCCCGAAACCCCCGCATTTCAAGTCTCGAAAACCTGAGCCGACCTCCCCCCCCCCCTCCCCTTAGCGACGCCCCTGGATGCCCCTCATTTGAACTCCGCCGCACCGACGCCGACGGCGGCGACGGCCGCGACGCCGCCGCCCTGCGCGACGAAGCCAGACACCAGCTGCTCCAGCAGCCGCTGGCCGCGCAACAGCTCGCGCACGCCCTCCAAGACCTCGTCGGGCGTTTCGAAATGAGGGGAGGGGGGGCGGAAAGGCATTTTTCGTGCACCCTCGGGGCCCATTCCTGCAAACTCTCGATGTCCCCTCCCCATTTGTCCCCCCCCCCCCCCCTTGCGAAGCGCCCGGACCTCGTCGAAGCAAGAGCCGCTCGGCGGCGCCGGCTCCAGTCGGCGCTGGCCTCAGCACACCCGCAAACCAGCAGTGCTCGCGTGCTGGAAGAATCCCACCAGCCCTCTGGGCGTAGGTGGTTTAGACCGTTTCCTCTTCCACACCTCCCTTCTCCCCTCCGGGGAGGGGTTTACCCCTCCCCCTTACCCCCTCCCCCTCAACTCGCCTGGACATCGTTTCTGGATGGACTGGTGGTGATACGCGAAGCCTCTGGGGGCCCCCGCAAGGTCCTTTGGACCGTCCAAGAACGGCTCGGTTTCGGTCGGGCCTGTCCCCCTACAGGGGGATTTTGAAAGAAAAATGAAAAGCACCCCCAAAATACCCCAGAATGGTTTAAAACAAACGCCTCCAAAATAGTCCCCAAATCATGTTTTGATCATTTTTGAATTTTCCCCCTGTCTGTTTTCAAGCTGTTTCCAACCATGTCTGTATGGCCCCGGCTAACTGCAAGCTAACACTTCTATTAATTCGCGGGCCCAGCGGGCCAAAAGCGTGCTGAGATCTCCTCTAACTGCATCGGAATACTTTGGGTAGGTCCTACTGAGGAGGCTTGGTGTTCCCAGCTTCCCTTCCAACAACCACCCCCCAGGGTATGTTTGGATGAGTTCTAAGCCTACGAGGCCTACTACAAAATGAACTCCTAACCTACGAGACTACAGAAAAACTCACTACTATATATCTGCGCGCTGATATTATCAAGCCACTTCCCCTCATTATCTGAATCCCCTCTCCCACGCAGTGAAATCATCCGACTTCACGGCTCCTTTCTGTTCGTGGCTCCTCCCTCCCCCAACTCGTTTCTTTCTCCTATTGTCGCCCTGCTCGCATGGCGCGCGCGCGGGAGGGAGGGGTGCGCATGTTGTTCTCACCGAGCGGCCCTGCCGACGTCTGCTGCTCGTCGGGCCAGGGGCAAGCAGGCGACGGCAAAAGGGAGAGTGGAGCAACGACGCGAGGATCAAAGGATAGGGCGAGAATCGAACTCAGGAGAGGGACGACGATGACGACTGAGACAAAGACGAGGGAGGTGATGATAACGCGAGAACGAAGAGTATCTAAATGCGCTTAGGAACGGGCGAAGAAGAGAAAGGCAGGGGGCATTCGAACGTGGAGTGTGAACCAAAGCTGGGCGATGAATCCCACATACAGAAGTGAAGGATCAAACCAACGAGTGTAGGAAAGACGAGCGAAGGATGACAAGAGGATGCTGGACATGGAAGGAGGGGGGGCTGGCATTATAGCAGGGCCGAGCGCCCATGGCATCCAAGCCTGGGCAAAAAAAAACAATCATGGGCGCAGTGTCGCATGGTGTCTTCCGCTTCTTCTTGGCAACTCGTTACACGCCAGTCGAAAGAAGTAAATAGAAACATGAAGTAGGAAGGCGTTGGGAGTAGATTGGGCTCCGCCTCACCCTGGTGGTGGGAGATTGGAGGAGTTGGCCATCGATTCTTGAAGTAAGAAGGCGCTTGAAATAGATTGGGATCTGGGGGTCCACGAATGCCTACGTTCAAAGACCGGCGGGCATCCGTGCCCTGCCCCCTCCCCCACCACTCTCGCACGCCCTCCCCTCTTCATCGCTACTTTCCCCCCCCCTTGCTACCTTCCCTGAGCTCTCCACTACCACTTGCGCCACCTCCCCATGCAGCGCCAGCGTCCGTCATTGCTCCTCCTCTTGCTCATCCTACCTGTGTCGTCGTCTTGTTTGCTTTCATCTCTCTCTGTGTGTATGTATCTCTATCTCCCCCCCATTCCCCTGGCACGCGCGCTGCGGCCCTCGCCCCCGCCAACAGCGAGAGCGGCTCCACAAGCCCCACCTCACTTGTGGATGAAGGAGGATGCCAGATCCCTGCCGGCGCCTCGAGGGGGGGGGGGCGACGTGACGGAGCGACGCGACGACGACGAAACGACGAGGAAGAGGAGAGGAGGATGAGGGATGAGAAGAAGGGAAGGATGAGGAGGTTGGCGAGGAGGATGAGGGATGATGAAGAGGAGGATGAGGGATGAGGAAGAGGATGAGGAAGATGTGGAAGGGGGGGATGATGAGGAGGAGGAATGAAGGAGGAGGGTGAGGAGGACGAGGGATGAGGAAGAGGAGGCAAAGGAGGAAGAGGGATGAGGTGGGGGAAGTGGGCGAGGGGGGTGAGGATGAGGATGAGAAGAAGGATGAGGATGCCTGTCCCTCTTCTGCTTCGTGAACTTGAAGTCGTCGAACCAGAAGCGCTCCCTGTAGAGCTCGCTCTGCTGGTCCACGTACAGGTTCTTGTGCTCATCGATCTCGACCAGGCTCGGTACTAAGTACTGGTACCTCCGCCCGATGGCATCTGGGATCATGATAGAGGTCAGAGGGGATGCACTGAGCAGCCAAGCAAACATGTGGCACATGAGAAACTGCAAAGCAACATCGCGTACACCACGTGGTTGGACGACAGGAAAACAGAGGGTGAGGGGGGCGCCTGAACGACACGAGATGACACATAGCAGATCCAAGGATGGGAGCAGAAAAAAACACACAATGGCCAACATCCCCATCCCAGCCCCACTTTCCGCTGTCGTTGCCGATGCCGGCGGTCACGGTCACAGGCATGAACACGATGCGGTGCGTTTCTTTCATGGCCTCCATCTCCTCCTGCTACCTGCTCTTCTTCCTGCGCTTGGCAGGGGGTGGGGTTGCCGCTGTGGTGGTGGTCGGCGCGCTGCTCTGGCCGCCCTGGGACTCCGTCTCCATGGCTTCCTCGGGTCGGGTCGAACAAGGGCCAAGATGGGCGGCGCGGAGCAATCATCTGAGGACATCTCGAGCGGGAGCTGCCCTTCCATTCCCATTCCCCATCCACCCCCCCCTCTCCGAAAGGCCCGAAAGAAATTCAGTGAAGAGTGAAGATGTCTCGAGCGATTGAGCGCGTTGCGGTTTCTGTCCTTTCACTCCTGCGCCAGCTGCTCCGAGGCGGGGTCGGCGCCAGAAGTATTTTCAGCAGCAGCAGCAGCAGCAGCATCCTTGTCCTCGAAAGTTTTCTTTGGCCCTATCAACCAAGCCAGACTGCAATTGCTGCGGGCCGCGTTCGCAAGCTGGCTCCCGTCCAAGTCCGCAGACCCCGAATTCGTGGACCCTCAGCCAGTTGCAGCAGCCACGAGAGAAGAGGAACGTTGGGGAGAAGGGGCAGTCAGCGAGGCAGGGAGGGGGGGGGGAGGAGGGCGGGCCACGCTGGCAGGAATGGGCGATCGTAGAGCGAGCGCTGACAATTTAGTGCGATCGCAAGGTCGGATGCGGACGGCTGGGCCTCACATTAGACAATGAAGAAGAGAAGTCCCACATCGACCCCGTCCACTCCCAAGGGCCGATCACTAACAAATCGGTCGGCCAATGGCCCTCGGCGGAATGGCGGAGCCATTGAACAGAACACCGGTAGCATGTCGGAGATCTTCTTCTAGGCGTCCGCGGCGCCCTGGCGCGGGGGGGGCGCGCTGGGAGACGGATAAGAGGCAGGATGCAGGATGAGGCAGGGATGGGCAATGGTTAGAAGAGGCCAGGCGGCAGATGAAAGGGGCAGGAGAGAGAGAGAGAGAGAGAGAGAGAGAGAGAGAGAGAGAGAGAGAGAGAGAGAGAGAGAGAGAGAAAGAGAGAGAGAGAGAGAGAGAGAGAGAGAGAGAGAGAGAGAGAGAGAGAGAGAGAGAGAGAGAGAGAGAGAGACGAGAGAAAGGGACATGCACGGAAGACGAGCAAGATGCGATGAGAACCATGACGCTATCTCTCCCTCGTGCCTCCTCCCCTTGCAGTCTGGCCGCCCTCTTGAGACGCTGGATCGATTCGACCCCCCTCCCCCTGAAAAACATTGCGGGCCTCCACGGGCTTCAACGGGAGAAGGAAGTTCTTGCTCAAGTGCGAAGCCACCGACTCGTCGACGACGCGCCCGTTGAAGGGGAGGGTTGGCCACTTCGCATCCTCTACCAAGTGCCTGGGGAGACAATTCGAGAGCGGGCAATAATTCTTGCATCTTCTGTCAATGCATGCGCAGATGTTTACACGATGCCTCATCGTTGCACAATCGCGCGCTGCTCAAATATGATAACACATGCAAGCTGACGATCACATCGCATGGACGCTGCGATAACACTTACGCTCAAGACTGGCCCAGGCAAACGAAGTAACTAGATTGTAGGACTTGGGCAGGGCATGGCGGCAGCGCGATCGCACAGCGCATGGAGGGTGAGTCGAAGAGGCATGAGGGATAGAGGGAGGGAGACCAGTGCGAGAAAGCGAGCTGACGACAGCTGCAATAAACGCATCGAACTCGTGAGAAGAAGCAGCTCGATACCCCTCGCCCCTTCCCTCATCCGTCGCCTCTCGAGTTTCTGGCATTTGACCTCGCCCTTCTCATTCTTCTCTACCTTGATGAACATGTTGGTCTTCTCCGAGAGCGCGGTTCCCATGGCGCGCAGGTGGAGTTCTGGGGGGGGGGGCGCCGGCGCATCGACCCCCCCTCGTCGCCGTCGCCGCGCTGGCGGAGGTGCCATCACTGGAGAAGGAGATCGAGGAACACAATGGCCTGTGCTGGGACATGCAGGCGGCCGAGCGCGCATGCCGCATCCTCTTCTACGCATCTCTCCTATCTCAAGTCCTCGCGCCCTCGAGCCCACTACCTCTTGTCCAACAAATTACATCTGGTCTCTCCTCGTGTCAAGGTCTCCGCTCTTACTTCATTCCTTTTCTCGTTCCCCTGCCCAAATTCAGACCTATCCTGCCCTCGTCCCCATGTCCTATTCCGCTCCATCCCCCCTCCCATCAATACCACGGAATGACCTATGCCTACATCATTCTACATCTCATCCAACATAACCCGCAATACAAAACACATCACAGAAACCGCAGTCCTTGGATTACCGTTTGCAATGCGCTCTGTAGCTGATGCTTGATGTGCGTCGCGATCTTTGGGTCTTTACCAATCTCGCTGGAGCGCTCCAGCTCAACGCACTTCTGCCACCACTCGTTCATGGGCGTGGGCTCCAGCTTGGCGTCGG